AAGACTGAAACAGTCCCTGTTCTCGGCCAGGTGTGGTGGCTCACACCTGTAATCCCAGCACTTTGGGAGGCCGAGGCGGGTGAATCACCTGAGATGGGGAGATTGAGACCAGCCTGACTAACATGGGGAAGCCCCATCTCTACTAAAAATACAATATTAGCTGGGCGTGGTGGCACATGCCTGTAATCTTAGCTGCTTGGGAGGCTGAGGCAGGACAATCGCTTGAACCCGGGAGGCGGAAGTTGCGGTGGGCTGAGATCGTGTCATTGCACTCCAGCCTGGGTAATAGAATGAGACCTCATCTCAAAAAAGAAAAACAAACAAACAAACAAAAAACCAGAACAGCCCCTGGTCTGAGGGGCTCACAGATCATGAGTAGGAGATAGATACTGGAATAAAAGACAAAAGTCAAATGTCATGAGTTCTGGGATTCAGAAAGGTGAAGGCTGCTCTGGTAGCAATAAAGGAAACCAGCGCTCCCTTGAGATCCCTTTCAGGAGGGTTATGGCCTGGCTCCTGTGATGACCCAGGACAGACTGGTCTTGATCCAGGGGAACCGTATCGATGACCTCAAGAGGCCCCGTTTAGCCACAGTAATCTATGATGTGGAGTTCTCAATTGCTGGCTTTGCTGGAGAAAGAGAGAGAAAGAGAGAAGGAAGAAATAGAAGGGCCGGTCAGTCCCCCTGTTCATTTAGTTTGCGGTCTCAGACTTCTGTTTCCTGGAGCTGCAGTCTGTATGTGTGGGAGGTGCACAGCAGTGGCTTGGCCGGCCCGCCGCTCCGGCAGCCCGCCTTGGGGGCAGCTGTCTTTTGGCAGAGTGCACCTCTGCAGTGGTGGCAGCTGGCCCAGGCAGACCTCCTCTCTGTCCGGTTAGTCAGCGTCCGGTGGCCGAGGGCAGAGTGGAGCCTGTGTTTCCGACAGCCCGGCCGCCCCTCGGAGTGAGGCAGCGCCGTGATTCTGAGGGTGATGCTGGCGTTTGCCCCTCGACCCTGTCCCCCACAAGGAGATTACGAACAAGGCAGCATTTCTAATAAGCAGCCTCTGCTTGCCCCATAGCAGATGAAAGACTGTGTGTAAGAGTGGGTAATTTTGGGTTTTCCTGATGAAAGCAGTTGACATTTGTGCTCAGACCTCATGTGCTCTGCAGCGCTGCCTTTCATCTGTGCGCTCAAAGCCCTGGTCGTCTCTGCCATGCCTTGGGGGCAGCCTGCGCCACCGGAATTCAATTGGGCCAATGGTGAAATATAGAAGAAATGGTAGAATGACCCCTGAGGCTGTGGATCGGGGAGCGGAGACAGCAGAAGCAAGTCCTGACTTTCCTGGAGGAAGGGGTGGGTGTTCCCGGGGCGGTGGGACTGTGTCTCGCCCCGTCCAGCACAGCCAGGGAGAGAATATGGGCCTTGGAGCTGGGCAGGGCTGGCTAAATTGGAAAGCCAGCTCCTCCACGGATTTGTTCGGTGAACAGAGGGCGTCCTTTCTCCTCTCTGATCTGTGTCCTCATTTGTCAGTGGGAATGATAGGATAACGTTACCACCAACGGATGGTGGCTTTCACAAGTGGAGCCAGGAGGCCCTCGGCAACGTTTATTGGCTTCTATTCTCATTGATAAACTGGACCCATTGTGCAAGGGCTCTAGAGAACTGGTACTAGGGGCCTGTAATCCCAGCACTTTGGGAGGCCGAGGTGGGCGGATCACCTGAGGTTGGGAGTTCGAGACCAGCCTGACCAACATCGAGAAACCCCATCTGTACTAAAAATACAGAATTAGCTAGGTATGGTACCACATGCTTGTAATCTTAGCTACTCAGGAGGCTGAGGCTGGAGAATCGCTTGAACCTGGGAGGCAGAGGTTGTGGTGAGCCGAGATCGTGCCATTGCACTCCAGCCTGGGCAATAGAGTGAGACCCCATCTCAAAAAAAGAAAAACATCCGGCACAGCCAGGGAGTACCCCAGACAGTGCCAGCACCTAGTAGGCCCTCCATAAAGGAAGAAAGGACACTGTTCCTGACATCCATACAGCTCCTCTAGCTTTGCAGAGGAAGTGAGAGAGAAAAGGAATGTGAAGGAACAATGGGTCAGGTTAGATTGTGCAGCCTTTCTGAGATGCATTTGTGAACAAATGCACAAGTCTTGAGTCATTGGTGGAATCTTAATGCATTCTATTCTAACCACCCAAGTGATAAGTTGACCCCCCAACTCAGAGCAACCTGGCCGCTTGTCTTTAGTCCACCCTGGAATACCTCCACTGATGGGGCACTCACTACCACTGAAAGATGGTATGCAGAGTTCTAATGTTCTTCCTCCTGCTGGGTCAGCCAGCTCTCTGGGTTCTGATCTTTGGGGCCCTCCTGACACCCTTCTTCAGATGGCAGCTGTCAGATTGGTGAATGCAGTGCATGTTGGGCCTTCCCTCCCTCGAGATGTGATTGCATGTGGGGTACTAGGACCCTGGTCAGGCCTTGACCTCCGCTGTCCAGGGAGCAGTGAAGCCTGGCTTGCTTTTGTTGGCTTGTTTATTTCCTAATGCCACCTGCCTCTGCACTTTAAGTAGTATTTGGGCTCTTGGGGAGTGTGCACATTCTAACAGAGCCCCTTGTCAGCAGACTGAGGAATCGAAAATTCTCTGCATTCCTCCTTGATGTCAATTACTTCAAGGAGCAGGAAGGTGACTTCTTTTAACAGGTAGAAAGGATTCAAGTGACAAAGCTGTTTCCTCTTCTTAACCCTCCACTCTGGAAAGTTATTGACTTAGTGACACAGTCCGTTTGTCTGGGCTTTGGGAGGGGGCTTTGGAGACTTCTCTCTGCTTTTGTGCAATGGTATGTATTTTTTCTCACGCTTTTTCCGGTCTGAGCTCGGTCTACCCCTCCCCTAAGCAGTAACCATCCGGCTACCCAGTTCAGCTCTGTTGGTGACTGTGGCATGGTGCAGTGGAAAGGACAATGGACCAAGAGCCCAGAGATCGGATGTCTGACCTTCCCTCTGCCTGGAAGGCCTACCTGGCCTCTGGTCGGGTCCCTACCTTCGTTGCTCAGCCTCACTCACTGTGGCCCACCGTCCAGCAGTGCAGGTGTCTTGGGGACTCAGGGAAGGTCAGACGTGGAAGGAAAGCCTCCAAGCTCTTGCATGCAAGCTCACCATTCCACTTCCAGGTTTTCTTCCCCTTCCTTCTGCTCTGTCATTTGTGCCTGCAGTTTGGGGATCTCCTGAATCTTATCCCTTTGCTAGGAGGCAGCAGTAGGCAGGTGTAATTTCTGCCCAGTCACTGAATGTGAAGAAGCATCTATAGGCAGAGTTAGATCCAAATCCCTTGGCCTGACACATCTGGCCTTTAAGTCTCCCCAGCCTCTCCTCTCATCCTGTCCCCAACAGCAGTTCATGTTTTAGCCACGCAGAAATTGAGAGGGTCCTGTGTTATCTGTGTTCCTGCAGACAGAGCTTGCCTAGGAAGGCAAAAGTCATCCTAACTAAAAATATGCACAAATAAACTCACTGCCAACATTCAGCCCACCCACATCCAATGATAATCAGTCATTTACTGATGGCCAGACGTTGTAAACATCTGTCAGTCCACTGCAAGAACAGCAGAAACTCTTAGCTGACCTCCATTTGGCCCACTCACTGAATTAAGTGATGTTACTAACTGAGTGAGGCTCCAGGCTCACTGAAGGCTTGTGGGCTACCCAGAAGCCCAGTTTTCCAGATTCAAAGCTTTTTCCTATTTCTTAGCTGTGTGACCTTGGGCAAGTTTTAATTAACCTCTCTGTGCCTGTATGCTGCATCTGTAAAATTAGAGTAATACTAATGCCCACCTTCTAAAGTGATTATGAGCATTAAATGGATTAGTACATTTAAAGACTTAGAACGGTGTTTTATGGCATAGGGTAAACACTCAATAAATGTTAGCTATTGATATTGGTGTGCCCAGAAGGCTTGTTAACCACCAGTTAATTTATGCGCTTGTCAAAAGTTGTTGTGTTGGTAATTAAATATTACATAAACTGATGAAAATTGAGTTTATAAAGAGAGTTTATGAAAATTTAGTACTTTGGATAGAATGGATAATATTGGTTTGCTAAAAAAAGAAATTGTCACTAAATAACTTAGAGGCAAAACAGCTGTAAAAGTTAGAGAAAAAAATTGTAAAACCAATGGAATTTGTATTCCATATGCTTTACAGGTGACTAGCTTTGGTACTGCTTTAAAGAAATTGAAACCAGGAATCGTAGATGTTGACTTGTGAGTGTGTATTTTGCATGAAAGACAATTTGCATCTCCAATCAGCAGACCAAAAAAAGATCCTACCCTTTGATTGGTTAATAAATATGCAATTATAATAAAATATTTAAGTGTTGATTCTTATGATTCCTATGTTTTCAATGAGATGACAGTGGTGGAATTGAGGAACAGGGTTTTTTCTCTCCAAGGCAGATTAGCTGCAAGAAATTGCATGTTTTGCACCAGGTGCAGGGTTTCCTGTAATCGGCAAAGGCCTGTGAGAGGTGGCATGAACCACACACGCTTACTGACACCTCCTGTGTGCCGGGCGTTGAGTAATGCTGAGGACACAGCAAGTGGGGAGCACTGGCAGAATCGGACCAGTTAACCATGGAGAAGAGAAAGGAAAGATGGTGGCTCTTTAGGCAAATCAAGGGAAAGGGATTTAAAAATGTAAAAAATTAAGAGAGGTCCTGGGAAGGTCTTCTGCAAAATAATTCTTTGCATCAGTGATGGAGGGGTGGAGTGAAGGAATTTTATATTTTGTGAGAAAGTGCGTGCTGAGGAAAAGCCTCGACATTAGATTGATTCTGTACACAACTCAGCAAATTAGATTGTAGTTTAAAATTATTAGTTTCAGGGGCCAGGGGCAGTGGCTCATGCCTGTAATCCCAGCACTTTGGGAGGCCAAGACGGAGGATCGCTTGAGGCCAGGAGTTTGAGACCAGCCTCACCAATATAGTGAAACCCATCTCTATTAAAAAATACAGAAAATTAGCTCTGCCTGCAATTCCATCCACTTGGGAGGTTGTGGCATGAGAATCGCTTTAACTCAGGAGGCGGAGGTTTCAGTGAGCCAAGACCGTGTCACTGCACTCCAGTCTGGGTGAGAGTGAGACTCTGTCTCAAAAAATAAATAAATAAAATTATAATTTCAGGTTTAAGTTTTAAAATATAGGACAGATAAATCTTATTTTATGCATCGTTTACGTGTAATTATAAATTGCATACTAATGTAGTTTTTATGATTATTTATTTCTTTTTCCAAGATAAAGCCTCCCCTCATCCCCCACTAAAGAGGGCTAGGACAAGTGACAAAAGTCACCTAAGATCACAGCCAAATGGGTAGAACTGGGAATCAGACACAGGTGGTGAAGCTTGATTTTTTAAGATATTGCAACCCCCGTAGCCCCATACCCTACCTGGCAGATCTGGACCTATTTTAAGTGGGTTCTTTTCTGGGGTAATGAGGTTCTCTTCTGCCTCAGTTTCCCTGCCTGCAGAGCTCCTCTGCCTGGTTCACTCTCTGCCTAGTTCACTCTCCTTTGCCTTGACTACACCTCTCCGAGCTACCTCTACCCCGGCATTCATTAGGGGTTTCTTCCTACCTGTATCCTGGCATTCATTAGGGGTTTCTTTATGTGTCTGGCTCAATGTGGGAGCCAGGAGCCCTTGAGGAGGGAGATCTCGCTTATCCATCTGTGTGCCCCCACTCTACTGCCAACATAGTGCTAGGAAGGGAAGGCGGCAGGTTTAAGAGAGGTCCTGCAGGCTGGACCGGGCCTCTCACTGTTACTTAGCCCAGGTCATCTCTTCACTTCTAGACCAACTGGTGGCACCCTAATGGGGAAAGCAATTTGGAGATTCTGGCAAAGCTCTTACCAGATGAAGCTGACAGTATAATCCCTGTGCATTAGCCACTTTCAGAGGTATCTGGGCCCCCAAAAGAGTCATGGGAGTCCCAGGCATGAAGGAGCCTTCGTGGCCATCTGCCCACCTTGCATGGTATCAGCAACACTTTCGGGCAGTGCTCACCCTGTCTCATTTTATCTGCTGGCATATTTCGTTTTTGTCATTGTATTGGAGATCTCTTACGTAGTAATCTCATTTGCTGGGTAGGCCAGGGAGGAGGTCTGGGACAGGTGAGGGAATCTCTCAAAGTCACAGACAAGTGAGGTTTAGAGTTGGGACTCAGAAGCAGGTGGTGCGGTCACCGTTGAGTTCATCATAACGATGCTGGCTGCCTCAAAGTACTATTTTAGTTAATGTTCAAAAGTGAATCTGCGAAGCAGACGGACCATTCATGTGTGCTTCACAGTACGGGAAACTGAGTCAGAGGAGGTCAATGTCACACAGCTGATAAATGACAAAGCCAGATGTGAAGCCTGTGAGTTGGATTTCAGCATTCGTATTTGATGAAGCGTCAGGTTGGGGCCTGGCGAGGGACGTGCTCAGGGGACGAGGAGGATGATTATGGGGAGCCTCAGAAGGCGTTCCTTGTCTGAGGGTGCTGTTCCCACTGCCTTGGTTTGGGTCCCTGCTTCTGGGCGGGATCTTCTGTTGGCAGAGGGTTCAATGCATTGGGTTCCATGAAGGAAGCTGTCTCCCCAGCAGCATCCTAGTCTCAGGGACTGCTCACATCACATCAAAAGCAAGGAGACAGTGGCTTTTGGTGAAAAGGGCTGTTTTGTCTTATTCTATGGGAGCTGGGAAAAGGAGACTAAACACCAGAGCCTCCCCCTAACCCAGGGGCACATTGAGAAGGAGGAAGGCAGCCCATGCTAGGAGCAAAAGGGAGAGAAGGTGAGGGCCAGAGCCCTGGGAAGTGTCAGATCCTGGTGCGCCAAGCTGCTCCCGGCTTGTATAATCAGCTGTCACTTCAGCATTTCCCTACCTCAGCCTTCCCAAGTACAGATTGAACATTAAACAAACAGTGACGGCTTTATAAATATTTAACTCCCACTGTTTAGGAATTGCTCAGGGCAGGAGACAAAATAAAAGTTCCTTGCTGTCTGTTCCATGCCCCCTCTGGCATGGTGTTGGAGGCGGGGGCCAGAGATTTGGGGAGTAGTGGGCAGTAGCTGTTCTCTTCCGCCTTTCCAGGGGGATGTGTTTGGGGACACACGTCTGTGTGTTCGTGGAGCCGTTCAGACCTCTTCTCGAAGTCAGCAGTTTGCATTTCTATACAGTGACCAGGATCCATCATTGCTGGTGTTATTGCTTCGCATCACAGCGAACTTCTTTCTTTTCTATATATAGCAGCTTTATTGAGATGTAATTCACATATAATTCACCTGCAACTCACCCATTTAAGGTATATAATACAACTTTTTTTTGATATAGAGTCTTGCTCAGGTTGGAGTGCAGTGATGCCCCCTTGGCTCACTGCTACCTCTGCCTCCCAAGTTCAAGCGATTCTCCTACCACAGCTTCCCGAGTAGCCGGGACTACATGCACACACTATCATGTCCGATTGTTTTTGTATTTTTAGTAGAGACAGGGTTTTGCCATGTTACCCAGGCTGGTCTTGAACTCCTGGCCTCAAGTGATCCTCCCACCTCTGCCTCCCGTAGTGCTGGGATTACAGGCATGAGCCACTGTGCCTGGCCAATACAATTGTTTTTAATATATCCATGGAGTTGTGTAACCATTACCATAATCCATTTTAGAGCATTTTCATCACCCCAGAAAGAAACTTTGTTTTTATTACCAGTCACCTCTTTCTCCCCACAATTCTCTGAGTGCTAAGAAATTGCTGCGCCACTTGTACTATAGATATACTTATTCTGGAGTGCTCTTTTGTGTCTGTTTTTTTTTTTTTGCTGGATATAATGTTTTCAAGATTCATCTCTGTTGTAGCATAGATCAGCACATCATTTCTCTGTAGGACTGAATAATGTTTCATAGCACAGATGTATTGAATTTTTTAATAAAACCTATTCATCCGTTGATGAACATTTGGGGACAGCAAAGCTGTAGTTGAAAAATCAAGATGTGGCCGGGTGTGGTGGCTCGCGCCTGTAATCTCAGCACTTTGGGAGGCCAAGGTGGTCGGATCACAAGGTCAGGAGTTTGAGACCATCCTGGCCAAAGTGGCGAAACCCCGTCTGTACTAAAAATGCAAAAATGAGCTGGGCGTGGTGGTGCATGCCTGTAGTCCCAGCCACTCGGGAGGCTGGGGCAGGAGAATCGCTTGAACCCAGGAGGTGGAGGTTGCAGTGAGTTGAGATTGTGCCACTGCACTTCAGCCTGGAGACAGAGCGAGATGTCTTGAAAAAAAAAAAGAAAGGAAAGGAAAAATCAAGATATGGCTAATGCAGCGTCATGTGACTAAGGCCAAACTCAGCTTGACAAAGGAGAGCCTCTACTATTTTGGGAATGATCAAGGAGGTTGTCTGTAAGCGTATGGTGGATGTTACAATGTGTCAGTGGACAAGTCACTCAGCTTTTCTTCAGTGCTAACTGTATGCCAGGCACTGTGACAGGACCCATCAATTAACTTATTGAAAATAATTATTGAGAGTGTATAATCTTGTGAAAACATTTATCAGAGGCTGTTCTGTGAGTTTCAGATTTTTTTTTTTTTGAAATGGAGTTTCGCTCTTGTTGGTCAGGTTGGAGTGCAATGGTATAATTTCGGCTCACCGCAACCTCTGCCCCCGGGGTTCAAGGGATTCTCCTGCCTTAGCCCCCCAAGTAGCTGGGATTACAGGCATGTACCACCATGCCCAGCTAATTTTGTATTTTTAGTACAGATGGGGTTTCCCAGTTGGCCAGGCTGTTCTCAAACTCCCGACCTCAGATGATCCACCTACCTCAGCCTCCCAGAGTGCTGGGATTCCAGGTGTGAGCCTCCAGGCCCAGCTGAGTTTTAGACTTTTTTAGGGTATAAGAATGGGAGGATGAGTTTGTGTTCTCAGCTCGTTTCTCTTGATTTTGGATGCCAGCTCTCTTTAGGAGAGAAGAGGGGAGAAAACAGGGGACTCTCTGCAGCGCTGTTCTTGTTCTGTCCACTTCCCTCCAGTCACGGTCTCTGCCCGGCTCTTGTCTCCCCAGAGGGGTGCTCTTCCCACTCCTGGTGTCCTTCTAAGTCCCAGATGTTTCCAGCATCCATTTGAGAGGCTGATTCAGCCCAGGCAGTGTCTGACCTAGGGAAGCAGACTGCAGGAAATGTTAAAAAATGGGGGCAGTTATCATTCCTGAGCATCGCACAGTCATTCAGTTGTGACTAACTGTAGTGGATGTTGTTGAAGGTCCCCCTCCCTGGACCGGTACACTCACCCCAGCTGCCGAGACGGCGGCTGCTAACGTCCACTGCCGCTAATGTCCACAGCACCCCTTCTCTGGAGATTAGCCTTCCTCCAAATGGAGCTGCTTCATCCGGGAAGTTGCTCACCCTCCAGCAGCCCTGGCTGACTCAGGGGTGCAAAGGGCTGCTCCCCCTTGCTTCCATGTGGGGCAAACTCCGTGGTGCGGTTCATGTTCCAGGGTTCCCTGTGGATGGCCTGATGGCCTGAGCTGGTCGCCAGCCGAGTCTACCCCCTTCCCTTGCCTGGCTCTGCTGCCTTCACTTCCTTTCGCCTGAGGCTGCTCCCCGTGAAATCACACCGACAGACATTCCCTTCTCAGGATCTGTCCCCGCGTGCCCACCCTCAGACGCTATCCGGAAACACGTTCCCTTTCCTCAGTCCCCTCTGATGATGCATCTGACTTAGAGATCCTTGGCCTGCGCCCTCTCTTTTCAGTACTGTTCTGGAGAATAGAAGCTTCCTGGGCTGGCCCCTCGAGTGTTTTGTTTGGTTGGTTTTGATTTCCAAGTCTTTTCAGGCTAATCAGATGCGAGGAAAGGTCTGTATTGAATCACAGCCCTGGCACTGTTCCCCTCTTCCTTCCCTCCTCCATTCATTCCCCCTGAACATCCTTTTCTGTGCCGACAATGACCTCACCAGAAGGGGAAAAAGGACGTGGGAGGGCCGCCTGGGAAACTCACGGAGCTTGGTACCAAATAGCCCTGGGTTCAAGTCTGGGCCCTGTTACTCAGGAGCCAGGGACTCAGGAGTGGTGACTTCTCTCACCGGGGACTCGTCGTCTCGATTCCTCGCACCGTTGTGGGGATCGGAAATAATCTGGGTTGATGATGTGGTGCAGTGACTTGCATTGAGGGGACACCCACTTCACATGGGCTGGAAAGACACCCAGAAGGAGTCCTGGCTCCCTCACACACGGGGGCTCAGCCTCACCAGTCAATTGTCATCACCCACCCAAGCCCATCTCTGGTCTCATTGCTTTTGTTCATGTTGTACTTTCATCCTGGGTTGCTCTTCCCTTTCTCTTCTCTGACCTGTCAAAAAGCCCCATTGTAGGCAAAATTTAAATGCCACCTCTTCCAGGAAGCCCTTTTGGATGCCTCTCGGGGGGATGAGTTCTTTCTATCTTAGCCCTGCACGCTGCGTGGTACAGGATCTGTGGGGCCTGTCTTCTTTACAACATTGCTGACTTCACGAATGTGGGGGTGCATGAAGAGTGTGATGAAATCAGAGGGTATGTTCCGGAGTCAGACCAATCAGGGTTAGGATTCCGGCCATGCCCCCCTCCTTAGCTGGATGACTTTCGACAACTGACTACATCATCCTGGAAGTCATCTGTAAGCTGCACTGCCCGCCCCCAACCACAGAACCCTTGTGCCCGCTGCAGGTGCTCTGTCAGCTGTGACTTCTCACTATCTGGCGTCCTCTGAATCACCAGCAGTTTGAAGAGTGAGCACATACTGAGCAAAGCCCTTAGAATTAAATACAGATGTGTGTATGTTAGCACCAAGCTAAGGGTTAAATACTTTCCAAAGATTCTCAGTGTGGTGGGTGGGTGAGAAGAGTTCTTGTCCCCTCTGGCTGCCTTGCCAAACTGGTACAGGGGCCCATCTCCCACTAACTACTGACAAAGATTCTTTGCCTGACCCAATTTAATCAGATACTTTAGTCTTTTCCTAGGCCCATCTGTGCACTTCCTTGTCAAATCTAGTTTTAGCAAAAAACTCTGCTGAGTCAGTTTGACAAGGACCACCCACTCTCAATATCTGATCACTTTCTATATCTGATAGATATAGTTCCTTCTCTTCCACTACCCTCCAGATGATGTCTGGTTCCCCTGGCCTGCCTTTACCAAGAATCTTGTTGGGTTGGTTTAGCCAGAATCCCCCTTACTCCTGATGTTGCCTTGTGGTAATTTTCTATCCACTGACACCCACCCTGCTCCTTGGCTGTGAATTTCCAGTTGCTCAGGCTGTATTGAGTTGAGCCCTACCTTTCTCCTACATGGCAAAATCCCATTGCCATGGTCCCTATGCTTATCAAGATGGTCGTGAATTGAATTGTCTTTTTTTTTTTTGAGACGGAGTTTCACTGTTGTTACCCAGGCTGGAGTGCAATGGCGCGATCTCGCCTCACCGCAACCTCCGCCTCCTGGGTTCAGGCAATTCTCCTGCCTCAGCCTCCTGAGTAGCTGGGACTACAGGCATGCACCACCATGCCCAGCTGATTTTTTGTATTTTTAGTAGAGACGAGGTTTCACCATGTTGACCAGGATGGTCTCGATCTCTTGACCTCGTGATCCACCCGCCTCGACCTCCCAAAGTGCTGGGATTACAGGCGTGAGCCACCGCGCCCGGCCCGAATTGTCTTCTTTACCATCTGCTCTACTCTGCCAGAGCTTAGACCCAGGCAGCTGAGTTAAAAGTGTGACCAAATGGACCATCTTGTTCCTGAAAATTGGGACTTGAGCTTGATTCCGAGATTTAATCATGGCAGAGGAGTTTACTCTGCTAGCCACCATCGCCCCACCCTGTCCCCCAGAGGGGTGCAGTGGGTAGCGGGGAGGCGACTGGTTGTTTCCAATCTCCCATCTCTCTCTGGCCATCCTCTGTCTCTGGCCTCTCTTCTCCCTTTGAAGGGACACAGTGCGGCTCACAGCCTGGCCCACTGCGGTGGCTGCAGAGAGGGGCTGAGAATAAGCCTGTGTCCGAGGCAGCCCTCCAAATACAGCAGGGCTGGGTTGACCTTTAAATAGACGGGCGCTGGGCCACTCAGTTCCTGGAAGTTTGAAGAAAGTCAGCCTTTCAAGTGATGCGACTTCCAACCTCAGGAAAGATCCCTGTGTTTGTGAAGGGTGTAATTTACTGTTGCTTTTGCGCTTCATGATATGTGGCTGCGTAGCCAGTGGGAGCCAGCATGCCAGAATTAGGAGGGGAAAATCCTCAAGTATTTTAATATACCCCTACTTAGAAGCAAGATAAACATATGCATTGTACTTTGGAACAGAAGCAAGGGGGGTTGGGGGGTGGGAAAGGGAGAGGCCTGGCATTGCATGAAAGGTCTTTTTAAGCTGAACTCTGAGGGTTTTCATTTTTCTTTCTTTCTTTCTTTTTTTATTTGTAAGCAAAGCTGGCATGGGCAAATGATGCCAGGATCCACTTGGCTGTGTAAAAGCCGTTGTCCCTCCTCAGACAGGCAGACTGCCGGATCCTCCCTAAGCCATAAACTGCTACATCGTCTTGCCTTGCCCAATTAAAAATGATTGGGTGCAGGTTGTCATCACAGTTGACTTAGATGATTTACTTTCCTTCCAGGAAATCTTCCTCCCAACTCTTGCTTTGCAATTATGCAAAAGAAAAATAAATGTTAATATGTTCTGTGCTCCCAGGAAACATTTTTTTTAACAAAGAAAAGAAAATGTTAATAAAGATGCATGATGTGAATGTGATCATGAGGAAGTTTCAGAACAACTCAAATTAAAGGACGTGCTTCCAAATAACTGCCTTATAATCTTCAGAAGTGCCAAGGTCGTGAGTGTCAGCGAAAGACAGAGGAATGGTTTCAGATTGAAAGAGGCAAAAGAGATGTGACAATTAAATGCAAAGTTTGATTCTCAACAATTGTTAAATCTCAGATGGATGGGAGCGTTAGATGTTAGTTGCATATCTGTGTCAGCTTCTTGATGTTTCTATAGGACCTCAGGGAGAATGTCCTTGCTTTAGAAAAATACACAAGGGGCCAGGAGCGTTGGCTCACACCTATAATCCCAGCACTTTGAGAGGCTTAGGTGGGCGGATCATGAGGTCAGGAGTTCGAGATCAGTCTGAACAACATAGTGAAACCCCATCTCTACTAAAAATACAAAAATTACCTGGGTGTGGTGGCATGCCTCTGTAATCCCAGCTACTCAGGAAGCTGAGGCAGGAGAATCGCTTGAACCTGGGAGGCGGAGGTTGCAGTGAGCTGAGATTGTGCCACAGCACTCCAGCCTGGGTGACAGAGTGAGACTCTGTCTCAAAAAAAAAAAAAAAAGCTAGAAAAATACAGAAGAAAGCGTGAAAGTATTCTGTAGTGACATGGCATCAAGAGGTCAGTCACCCCCTCTCACATACTGTAGGGGAAAAGGATTTGCTCTGCATTACCAACACGTTTGCAAGTGTTTCACAAATAATTATAATTATAATAAACCTACAGTGGGGAAATTCTCTCTCTCTTTTTTTGTTTTTTGGAAGACAGAGTCTCATTCTATTGCCCAGGCTGGAGTGCAGTGGCATGATCTCAGCTCACTACAACCTTCACCTCCTGTTTTCAAGCGACTCTTGTGCCTCAGCCTCCCTGTTAGCTGGGATTACAGGTGGGCACCACCATGCCTGTCTAATTTTTTTTTTTTTTTTGTATTTTTAGTAAAGACGGGATTTTGCCATGTTGGCCAGGCTGGTCTTGAACTCCTTATCTCAAGTGATCCACACACCTCGGCCTCCCAAAGTGCTGAGATTACAGGTGTGAGTCGCCATGCCTGGTAGAAATCCCTTCAGTGGAGAATACATTAAATCTGTGTTTGAATCATGACCCTTTAAATTTACTCAGGGTTCGACTTTACCCAGGGAACATAACCATTCTTTTTTTTTTTTTTTTTTTTTTTTTTGAGATGGAGTCTTGCTCTGTCCCCAGGCTGGAGTGCAGTGGCACGATCTCGGCCCATTGCAACCTCCACCGCCCGGGTTGAAGTGATTCTCCTGCCTTAGCCTCTGGAGTAGCTGGGATTACAGGTCAAATAGTATCCTTTTATAGATAAGGCAATGGAGGCACAGAGCAGTTAAGCAACCTGCCCAGATCACACAGCTGGAAGGTGGTGCAGCTGGAACCTGGATAGGTGCTGGCAGCCTGGCCTCAGGGTCAGGGCTAACCACTGAGCAGCACTGCCACCCAACGGATGGAAGCCTGCTGGATGAGGCCAAATCGATTTCACTCAGCGCCAGCCAAGCAGAACTCCCATCCAGACCTCTCTCCACCACCCTCATAAAGCCAGTGTTTACACAGGCTAGAGGTGCTCATCAGATGTTTTTGCCAATCCCCAAATACGGCCAGGTCCAGAAAGTGAGAGGGGTGCCTATTATGTAAGGCCCCGTGGCTGGTCCCCAGACAATGCCACTTCCTCGCTTGGCGCTGTGTGACTGCATAACAACGGGTTACTCATTTCCTCTGGAAAACTTGGCAGGGCCTCTTTGCCTCGTTTCCTCCCCCCACCCCATCCCCAGGCTTCCTCTATTGAATTTTCTCTGGATTCCCGGGAGCACCACTACGGAGGGCCTGGCCTTTGGCGGTGGACAGCCTGGGGCTGTGGATGGGCAGAAACGTCAGGAGTGGGGTCTGCCTCTGTGCTGGAAATGACATGTCCTCCCAGCCCACTTGCCCCATGCCAGCACTGGAGGCAGGTGAGGCCCAGCCGTGGATGTCAGGCGTTCCTGGACGGGGCAGGTCTCGAGGAGGCAGGAGGTCCATGTTTCTCCTCCTCTCCCATTACTAACAGGGTTCTGCTGAAGGTTTGGCCTCCTTCCTCTTTGCCCCTCTCCTGGTAAAGGGATGAATAATGACAGCCTTCCCTGGGAAGTCTGAGATGGATTACCCCAGGGGGGCTTGAACATTGGCGTGCGTGTGAGAACTATCGTCACATGAGTTTTCCTTCTGTCTTGTCTGCGGGATTTCGCAGGTAAGCAGTAAGGGAAATCCACCCCGTTTGCTTCTCAGGACCTGCTTTATCCGATTCACCACGCTGTGGCTGCGTCCCAGCCTTCTACGGGCGCATCTCTGGGCTCCCCGTGAACTCTGTGCAGATTAGCTGTTGGTAGACATGGTACCTGATGGACACCAAGCTACACAGAACTTCATCTTTCACACCCAAGGCTTCCTTCTTCCTTTGCTAATTAAGAGAGGTTACTTCAAAGTAAAATTGTTTCTTAAGCGGTACCCTGTAAAAAAATAAAAATAAAAATAAATAAAAAAAAAAAAAAGAAAAGAAAACATAATACACATTATGTTTCTATCTTACAATACACATTTCTTATTTTTATCTCAGTAAGTTAATAGACACATGGCTAGATATACACAGCTCTGTCTATACATACATATCCACACATATGCATGCAGATATATGCATATTTACCTCCAATGCCTGCATAGTCCTGTGCCAGGTATTGGCACATTCCATTTTTCTGTTCTGTTTATCAATCTTAAGACTTCTTGTCAGGAACTAGGGATTTATCTATAGCAATCTGGATCTTAGCAGTTCTTTTCATGGATTATCTTATTTTTTCCCTCTAAAAACCTTGGAGTTATAAAAGGGCATATTATTGCCGTTTTACAGATGAGAATTAATTCGTTAGCTAACTCAGTTTCATGCTTTTTTTTTTTTTTTTTTTTTTTTTTTTTTTTGAGACGGAGTTTTTCTCTTGTTCCCCAGGCTGGAGTGCAATGGTGTGATCTCAGCTCACCACAACCTCTGCCTCCCGGGTTCAAGCGATTCTGCTCCCTCAGCCTTCTGAGTAGCTGGGACTACGGGCATGCACCACTACGCCTGGCTAATTTTGTATTTTTAGTAGATACAGGGTTTTTCCATGTTGGTCAGGCTGGTCTTGAACTCCTGACCTCAGGTGATCCACCCGCCTTGGCCTCCCTTGAGGCCTCTTTCCTCAAGGCCTCTCAGTGGTCTTGAGGTATTAGTTCGGCAATGTCTTCTCTAAGCAGAACTGTAGCCCCAAAGTACCCAGACTAGAACTCTCCTGTATTACAGGCTGGGATTAAGGCATGAACCACCATACCTGGACAGTTTCATGAATATTTTTAAAGGGCCTGTTGTATGTTGGGTGCTACTGGGCGGAACTGGGCAGGGTATCGCCTCCATAGCTTTCCGGCTGAGCAACCTTAGAAAAATTTGAACAGTTTCTCTACATCCTGGGCTCTTGGTCGATAAAATGAGAATTATTGTTTGAGCCTCTAAAGCCAGAAGGTCAAATGAGATGGGCACGTGAAGCCTTCAGCAGGGTTCCAGCCCCGCAGTGAACTCTCAGCTAGCTGTGACCCTTACAGAGCTGCAGGGTGCTCACAAGTCAGCCCTGCAGCCATCAATTCAGCTGCCGCATACAACACAGCCCTTTCCACTGCCCTTCGATGGGTCTCCTTTTCCCTAGTATTGGCCATCTGCTAAGGTGACTGAAAAAGGGCCTTTCAGATTTTCAAAGGGGCAAAGAAACTTCAGTCCCTGGTTGGGTATCTTATTGAGTAGAGATGACTACATGCAATTCTTTGGGGGGAGGAGGCTGCACATTCTAGCATTTAATAAAAATGTATGGAATACTTCGCCCCAGGTAGGTACCTGACTTGGTAAAGGCGATGAATAAGACAACCCCATCCTCATCTTCATCAAGCCACCAATCTGGTGGTGGTGACTGGGGTGGGGGCTGCTGAGACATTGGGCGTCTTGGACCTTCCCTCTGGGTGGGTGTCTTTTTTCCCAGGGCGGTCTGGGCTCTCTCTGGATGGGAGGAAGTTGGTCTGAAAGTGCTTCAGTGATCGTTGAAACAGGTTTGCCAAAGATGGAGGCGAAAGAGATGGCCAGCCTTTATCTAGGGACTCCCGGATGGTCTTAGGTCTGGAAAGAGTGAATGGGAACATTTCTCCCACCTTCTGGACTGCAGATTCCAGACTGACTCCTTGGCGGCAGGCTTCCTTATCTCTGCAGTATTTCTTCACATGTTCCCTTCATAGATTTCTAACAGGATGAAGACTTTGTTCTTTGGGGTAGGGGTCTACCTCCAGGGGTGTGGGGAAGGGTTGAGAAACTGCTGAATTCTTTTTTTTTTTTTTTTTGAGACAAAGTTTCGCTCTTTTTTCTCTTGTTGGAGTGCAATGGCGCAATCTCGGCTTACCGCAACCTCCGCCTCCTGGGTTCAGGCAATTCTCCTGCCTCAGCCTCCTGAGTAGCTGGGATTACAGGCAAGCGCCACCATGCCCAGCTAATGTTTTGTATTTTTAGTAGAGACGGGGTTTCACCATGTTGACCAGGATGGTCTCGATCTCTTGACTCGTGATCCACCCCCCTCGGCCTCCCAAAGTGCTGGGATTACAGGCTTGAGCCACCGCGCCCGGCCGAAACTGCTGAATTCTTAACTTTGATTTGTCAACGGTTTCCTGGAAAGCCTGGAGCTGGGGTGGAACTGATACAGTTTGATAATTGCTTAGGCATTCTCCACTTTGGTTGTTCCTGGGGCCAGATGGGATTGGGATAGAAACAGTATCGGAGAGTTTTGTTTGGTTTTAATGTCATACCTGGGTGCTCTGTTATCCAAGCAGGCCCTCTCCTGCGTTCTCTTCTTCTTTTAAGCCTCTTCCTTCAGAAGGAACAAAACATAATCTGCATGCTGGGTGGCTGTGCCCAGCAGGTATCACAGGGTGTTTTTGTCTGCCTTTTGCTTCTGAAGGTTAACCCACTCCCTATTTAGAGAGGCCAGGTGGGTCTGGGGTGTGTGTGTTTGTTTGTGTGTGTGTGTGTGTGTGTGTGTGTGTGTGTGTGTCTTTCTTTTTCCCTGGGGTGGGCATTTTTATTCAGGCAGGTGTTGTTATGATCCCCTGTTGTGGAGGAAGAGGTGAAATTTTGGAGAGACGAAGTGGTTTGTCTGATGTCACACAACTGATAGATGACAGAGTCACGTATCTATTCAGGGGTCTGGTCCACAGCCGGGAAGAAGGTGAGGTGTGCATGGCCTGGTGGCACAGAGCATGACTTCTGGTTGCACAAGTGTGGGAGGTTACTTTATCTTGAGAAACCTCAGTTTTCTAATCTGTAAAATGGAACAGTACGTATCCCAAAGGGTCATTGTGAACATTTATCCAAGTCAGGTCCTCTGTATGGAGCAGAGAACCGCATCCAGCATGCAGTGCGTGCTCTGATGATCTTGGCTGGAATGATCGTCCTAGTTAGGGTGGATTTGACTGAAAGTTGGAGTAACTGGTAATTTCATCATCTGAGAGATTCCCTGGGAGCCGTGGACCCAAGAATGAGAATCTTGTGAGAGGTGGCCAGGTGAGGGTGGGAGGGGGTCAAGTGAGGACTGGTCTTGAGGTAAGAGTTGGACAGTGTCTTCTCTAAGCAGAACTGTAGCCCAGAAGTGGCCAGGCCAGAACTCTCCTATATCAAATGAGGATCACTCCATCGTGCCAGCTGCTCTCATACTGCTTTGATGGACTTTCTCAGAAAGCAGTAAGGCAGTGCTGGGGATGCTGGATGTGGCTTTGGCTTCCTATGGCCGCCCCAGTGCTGGCCTGCCGCTTTCTGAATCTGGTTCGTGATTGGATCCGTGCATCCTCCTGCTCCGTGTCCTGGCCTTGGAGAAATCATTCTCCTCCCGCCATGACTGCCTGCCTGCGAAGGTCAACACAGGCAGGAGGCACTGCTGAGCTCTTGCAGTTTTCAGGGCAGGGCTACCTCCTCTCGTGCTTCCAGTGAGGAGGCTGCTTGAGAGCACCTTCGAGAGGGAACCTCGCCCCTCATGTAGCTTGAGCAGGTCTTTGCTCTAAACTCTTGGCTGGGAACATACCCTCCCATGTGACTCGGCATGGCACCCACCTCTGCAGAGCCACCTGCGCCACAGAATAACCTCTGCTCCCTAGACACCCTGTGTAGTCTTGGTTGGATTCTCTAGATGGGAGGGACTGCCTAAAGCATAACTGTGTGTGTTCACATGCTACGTGCCTTGGAAGAGTTTTACGCAGGAAAGTGTTTGTAAATCAGAAAAATGGATGCTGGTATCTAATTTCCTGTCTCCGTTTTAAGTCCAGACCAAGTCACCTAACCCCTGAGGCTTGCAGCCCGCATCATCCACTGGGTGATTGCCTTGAGTGATCTGGTTCAGTCCCTTGGCTGTGGCATCCTCTTTGCCTCTACAAGTAAACAGCAATTAAGTTGACAGCAGGGCCAAGGAAACTGACAAGTCTTGGGTGAAAATCTTGAGATGCGTTGTCGCATTACCTAATTCATTCTTTTTCTTTTTTTCTTTTCTGTTTGTAGACAATCTGGAGTGCAGTGGCATGATCTCGGCTCACAGAAACCTCTGCCTCCTGGGCTCAGGTGATTTTCGTGCCTACAGCCTCCCGAGTAGCTGGGATTCCAGGTGTGTGCTACCACACCCAGCTAATTTTCATATTTTTAGTAGAGACAGAGTTTCATCATGTAGGCCAGGCTAGTCTTGAACTCTGGCCTTAAGTGATCCACGCTCCATGGCCTCCCAAAGTTCTGGGATTACAGGAGTGAGCCTGGTCCCAATTCAACTTTTATGGGCATTGGACAAGGACATTATTTGCTACCCGTGGCTTACAGACATCAAACCCAAGGCTCAGAGAGGGAAGACATTTTTTAGTCTCACTGAGAAAGTGACAGAGTTGGAATTTGGTCTCTATCATGCGAAATCATGCTCCATGCCCCATCCAGTTCAAACCCTGTGTGGAAGTCAACACTGGAAGCCCCCCGATTTTCTTCACCAGGCCCCTGCTCTGATTCTTCCAAGGTCAGTCTCTTTCCCTCAGCAGAAGCCAGCTGGGAATCACTGGCCTCGTAACCTCTTCAAGTGACCTCCTTGGGGTGTTCACAAGGAGCGTAGCCACCCGGAGAACGATATTGTTTTTGCATAGGGTGGGGATGGGGGTGGTGCCCCTCACATCATTCCAGACAGTGCCAGCCCTGCTTTTACCAGTGGAGGCCATGAAGTGGCAACAAGCCCTGATCGAAAGTGAGTGAAATGGACATCTCAGCGTTTTCTAGGGAAAGGATGCCATCTGCATGGCTTCAGTCCCCCGAGGAAGCCCCATCCTAAAGCAGAGAGACCCCAAATCACACTGTGTTTCTTTTTGGCCAGAGATGTGGCTTACTCATCTCAGACAGCTGTGTCCACAGCATGTTCCTCAAGGGCAGCAGCTTCAAACGAAAAGAGGAGATGTTCCCAGAGCCTTGAGGGGCTGCTGATAGGAACACAAGGCCTGGGGCTACATCCTGTGGCTTCAGAAATATATACATTTGAAAGCTTCTAGCAATACGGATTGCATAGGAACTCAAATGTAAGATCCCTTTGGGACTTTTTCTTAAGGCATTTAAAGAAAATGTCATTCTCATAAAGAAATGCCATTTGTTTTCCAAGCTGCCATACCAGGGGACACAAAAGAGAAAGATTGAAGTGTCCCTGGAAATGAATGAATGTTCCAGTCTGTTTTTACTAATGTCCAAAATCTTAGTTAATTGCCCTTTTGTTCCTCTGTCCCAGGGTCTCCGAGCGGCAGGTGTGTGGGTCTCGTTCGATGGTGCGGCCATCATGTGGGAGAAAGATGCTCACAGGGGGTTTTGTTGAGCGTCTCCTTTGAGCAGTCCTTTCCCTGGTGAGGTGTACAGGCAGGCATCATGCCCATTGCATAGATGAGGAAGCTGAGGCTGAGAGGGATCAGCAATTTAGGACTTCTGGGTGATATCACAGAAGGCCCTTCCCTGTTGTGGGGTGTACTTTCTCAATTTGGGAAGTTGGACTATGGGGGTTGGACCAGGGGGTCTTCTTACTTCAGCTTTCTCTAAACCAAGCCTTGGTGATTATGGAGGAAGAAAGAGCTGGGGTCTGTCTTGGCAACCCAGTGGCTCTTCTCTCCTGTTCTCACCTTCTTTTACCAACATTTACTAAGGGCTCCATGTACAAAGGTGGCTCTGCGGCCCTTTCTCAACCAGCACCGTGGCCCTGCACCCTGATATGGGACAGGCAAAGCACACAGGCTTCATGGATGGGGGCCTGGGACTGCAGACAGAGCAGAAGTGGAGTGGGTGTGGCCTGGCCCATGGAGGTGCTAGAGAAAAGCCACGTTAGGCAGCATGGGAGCCGGGTGCGGGGTCTCTCAAAGCCTCGAGTCCCTGGCAGCGCTGTGCTCTGTAAGGCCTGCCTTTGACTCCTAGGGCGCTGACACTCATGCCTTTGCTTCTGCAGCTGACCACACTCCCTGGGCCTTCTCCCAAGGGCCCGGGCGTCCTTGGCATATGCAGTCATCGTGATGGCACTTTAAGTGGAGGCTGAATCATCTCTCCTTTGAGCTGCACAGCACATGGCTCCCTAGTGTTCCCAATTTACCTCCGAGACACTGAGATTTGGAGAGGTAAGTGGCTTCCCCGAGGCCATGTGCTAAGAGAGAAGATGAAGAAATCACCGTCCAATCAGAAATCCAATCACAGGAATCCAGGTCTAAGACCAGACCTAAGGGTCTATACATTTTCCACATACTTTCCCTATCTTTAGCAGCCTGATGAAAGTAGAGGTTTACCTTTCTTCTAGGTAAATCCAAAGGCACTTGCCGCCTGGGCCCGCTGTTTCTTAACTTTCTGATCTCTTGGGGGTGATAGTCAAATATTCAAGCCTGAGCCGTTGGGATGCCTGATGCTGGGCTCAGGGACTCTGTGTCAGGTCTGAACCCTGTGTTTTGTGGAGGCGGATGGGGGAATGTTCCCCCAGGGAACATACCCAGACATGAGGGCAACCGTTGCCCTCATGGGGAGGCATCTGTTTACTCGCTGCTATGGGGGCACTTCCGTCTCTCACAAAACCACTGCAGATGAGTGAGCTCCTGCTGAACACTAGGCCTGGTGTCTCTAGACCCATCTCCCCACTCCCCCGCCACCTCTGTTAGTTCATCTTTAGCCACGATTTTTTGTTTTGTTTTTTTAATTTTATCTGGTTTTTTTTTTTGTTGTTATTGTTTTGTCTTTATTTTTTAATACTTTAAGTTCTGGGATACATGTGCAGAATGTGCAGGATTGTTATATCAGTATACACGTGCCATGGTGGTTTGCTGCATCCATGCCCCTGTCATCTACATTAGGTGTTTCTCCTAATGTTATCCCTCCCCAATCCCCCCACTCTTGGCTATCCTTCCCCTTAGCCCCCCACCTCCAGCAAGCCCCGGTGTGATGATGTTCCCCTCCCTGTGTCCATGTGTTCTCGTTGTTCAATCCCCATTTATGAGTGAGAACTTGCAGTGTTCAGTTTTCTGTTCTTGTGTTAGTTTGCTGAGAATGATGGTTTCCAACTTCATCCATGTCCCTGCAAAGGACATGAACTCACCCTTTTTTATGGCTGCATAGTGCTCCATGGTGTATATGTCTAGCCACGTTTTTATTGCCATCATCTAGACCTGGGCAGGGCGAGATCTTTTACTATTTTTAATTGTTTAAAATAATAACTGCCAGGTGCGGTGGCTCACGCCTGTAATCCCAGCACTTTGGGAGGCCGAAGGGGGCAGATCACAAGATTAAGAGACTGAGACCATCCCGGCTAACAGGGTGAAACTCTGCCTCTACTAAAAATTACAAAAATTAGCTGGTCATGGTGGTGCAAGACTGTAGTTCCAGCTACTCAGAAGGCTGAGGCAGGAGAATTTCTCGAACCAGGGAGGCGGAGGTGGTTGCAGTGAGCCGAGATGGTGCCACTACACTCCAGCCTGGTGACAGAGCTAGACTCCATCTCAAAGAAAAAAAAAAAAAAACTGCTATTTTTTTTTTTTTTTAAGTCCAACTTTTGGCATAGTCAGCCCAAAATACAGCCTTTGTATTGCCATCTGGGAACTCGATTTGGAATTGTTCTTCAGTGAGACTGCAGAGCAGAACAACAGAGCTGGAGGTCCCAGGAGCTGGTCAGACTCAGCTCTGCCCCTTGCTGGCTGAGTGACCTTGGGCACCACGATTCATATTCTCATCTGTGCCCCCACCCCCAAGCATGGCTACGAATACTTTTTATCCCTTTTTAAAAATTTCTGTGATTACCATAAAAACTAACACAAATTAACCATTTACACAACATAATATGTTAATGTACAGTTTTTTTGGGGGGATCGGTTTGAGACAAGTCTTGCTCTGTCACCCAGGCTGGAGTACAATGGTGTGAACATGGCCCACTGCAGCCTTGACCTCCAGGGCTAAAGTGATCCTCCCACCTCAGCCTCCACAGTAGCTGGGACTACAGGCATGAGTTACCATACCTGGCTAATTTTTCGTATTTTTTGTAGACTCACTGTCTTGCCCAGGCGGGATTGAAACTCCTGGACTCAAGCAACCTTCCCACCTCGGCCTCCTAAAGTGCTGGGATCACTAGTATGAGCCACTGTCCCCAGCTCATGTCCAGTTCTCTAGGGCAGAGATCAGACATGGATCTCACCCGGCTAAGCCAAGGATCCTGCAGGCTGCCTTTCCTTCTGGAGACTCCGGGGGAGGGTCTGTTTCCTTGCTCATTCTGGGTGTTGGCAGAATTCATTTCCTTGAGGTTGTCGAACTGAGATCCTGTTTTCTTGCGGGCCGTCCGGCTGTACTGTGTTTCTGGAAGCCTCCCCTCTGGGCTCGTGGCCTCCTCTCTCCATGTTTAAGTCCAGCAATGGTGGGTCTAGTTCCTTTACGACCTAAATCTCTTCCTCCTCTTTCTTTTCACCTCTGTGATCCCAGCTGGAAAAGATTCTCTCATTTTAAGAATTCATGTGATTATTGGACAGGGGCTGCCCTGATAATCCAGAATAATCCCTACCTCAAGGTCCTTAGCTTTCATCACATCTAGGAAGTTCCCTTGGCCCGGGAGGCAACATATTCACAGGTTCCAGGAAATTCAGATATGGGTACCTCTTTGATTGGAATGGGGTGTGGCAGGTATTCTGACACAATGCCTCAGAAGGGTTGCTGTGATGATTAAGTGAATGGATACATGCAAAGTGCTTAAAATATGACAATTGAGCCATGTGAGTTTGGCAGCATAGCATTGTTGACCTATAGAAGGTCAATTTAATAGTATCTGATCTATAGAAAATCCTCAGGAAATGTTTGCTGTCATATTCTAGTGGGGACAATGTCATGCTTTCTTTAGCCGGTTTGCTATTATTCTGATTTCCTTGTTGGGCATTACTTTTTAAAAAGTTCTGATTATTGGCTGGGCATGGTGGCTCACACCTGTAATCCCAGCACTTTGGGAGACCGAGGCGGGTGGATCACGAGGTCAAGGGATTGAGACCATCCTGGCCAACATGGTGAAATCCCATCTCTACTAAAAAATACAAAAATTAGCCGGGCGTGGTGGTGAGTGCCTGTAGTCTCAGCTACTCGGGAGGCTGAGGCGGGAGAATCGCTTGAACCGGGGAGGCGGAGGTTGCAGTGAGCCGAGATCCCGCCACTGCACTCCAGCCTGGCGACAGAGTGAGAGTCAGTCTCAAAAAAAGAAAAAAAAAAAAAAAAAAAAAAAAAAAAAAAAAAAAGAAAAAAAAAGAAGTTATGATTATTTTGGGATGATGTTGTTTACGTGAAAACTGTGATCATTATGTCTTTTTCAAATTTTATTCTGATTTAGGGCAATGCATGTCTTTCCCAGCCATGCTCAGTTTCCTGCTCCAGTGCCAGTGTCTGTCTGGCTCTTGTTCAAGGTTCATTTGACCATTTTTGTTTTAAAAAAGAGATGTGGCCCAGGCTGAAGTACAGTGATGTGATCCTAGTTCACTGCAGCCTTGATCCCCCCAGCAATCCTCCTGCTTCAGCCTCCCAAAATGCTAGTATTTCAGGCAGGAGCCATTGCACCTGGCCCGTCAGACCATTTTTTATGCTTAATTGTAGAGAAGGAAATGTAAGTCATTAAGGTCTGAATTATAAAGCCTGTGTGGCTTACAAGCTGAGCACGGATTATGGTTTAAGGAAGCCCCAGGTTCAATTCCTGGCTTCGCCACTTGGTAGCTGTAGTGGACCTTGTTCATATTTCATACTCTCAGCTTCTTTGTCTGTAAAATGGGGACAACAAGAGTATTGACGTCGCCTGGCTGTTGTGCTGGCAGCTGGGCTGCCTGCTCAGGCCCTTCTTTATTTGGATCCCCCTGCCACATTTGTCCCGTTTTTTTTTTTTTTTTTAAACGCTGACCCAAGTTCCATTCTGGGCGATCAGGCATTCAGGGGAAGGAGGGCTCCAAAGCAGAGACAAAAGCAGCCAACCAGCTCGTCCCTCTGCAGCTGATACCGAGGAGGAGATGCCAGTGGGAAGAACCGTGGCCATATGGCCGGCAGGATGCCTCACTGCTAACAGTTAGCCCGGCCCCTTTGAAGTGGTTTTAAGACCAATTTGGTAACTTGATTTGGAAAGTGGTATCGATGACTCCAAGGGCGCAGGCTGCTCATTAGCTGCTGTCTGGGCTGGGCAAATTGGTTTAAGTGGAATGAAATTGGTTCCTTCCCTCCCTGGGCTCATGGCTGAGGTCCAGGTCCGATTGTAATGGGAACCTCTCCTGGGCAAAGAACACTGAAAAGCTTTCCGGGGAGTCTGACCCTCTTTCTTCATATGTGAATTCTACTTTTCCCTGGGGGTCAAGGCAATGGGCTGATAAAACATAAAAATGAACCTGAAGTGGGTGGGGTGAGTGTGTGTGTGGGAAGTCAGATCAGAGGAGAATGAACAATGAACAGTGGCTGAGTATTTTTCAAGGGCCAGTTAACCATTCCCCTGTTGAGAGACATTGTGCTTGATGCATTTTTTTTCTTTTCTTTCTTCCTCTTCCCACCCCCCCCCCCCACCCATATTACAAACACTGCTGGGAGGAACATCCTCACGAGCTTTCTTGGTCACTTATGTGAGAGTTCTTTCGGGATTTATACCCCGAGGCAACTTCACTGCCTTGGAGGCTAAGAAACGTTTTCTGTTTTATGAGATGCGATCACATTGCCCTCCAGGACGATCATGCCAATTTCCACTCCCACCCACTGTACACAAGAGCCCTGATTTCCCCCATCTGGTAACCCACATTTGATAGGTCGGATTTTTTGCTTTTTGTTAATCTCATGGGGCAGATGCCATTTCTAGTAGTTCCCCTGACTGCCAGAAGGCTGAGCAGCCTGCCCTCACCTGCCTCATGCAGAAGGCCCTACAAAGGCAGCGTGAATCCTCACAGACCCTCGCCCATGCCCTGCCGATCTCGGAGGGCACGCTGCCCTCGTCCACTGGTTATCTGAAACAATTCCCTTTCCTCATTCCTTTTGTTGCCAGTGAGTGTCCGTTTTGGACCTCCCACTGAGCAGTCTTTTCTGTCACGTAGCCATAGACAGGGCTGAGTTCTTTGGAAAACGATCACATCCCACTGTTGTGCCCATCCGTT